CACCTTGATATCTGTGAATTTCCAGCATCTGCAGTTTCTACTATCTGTGAATAACAAGTATCGTTTTCGTTATTAAGATGTGGGTGTGTACTTTAACTAAATGTGCTCCCTCTTCAATTCAACAATAACTGTAAATGTTACAAACTCTTTTTTTAAAACTTTTATGGCATTTTTCCTGCACTTGGGTGATAAGTGAAAGAAGGAATGCAAACAATAAAGTACCTTTTTTGTTAACAATTATTCATACTTGAGTTTTTAAAAATTACATTAATACTTGCGAAACAGGCCTTATTAATTGTTTCATGATTTGTAGCAGTTCACTCCTTTTTCAGCTCGTGTGTGTTTCAGGAAACCTTATTATTAATGTCATGTTCTGACCAGTCAGTTTCTCTGTAGGAATCATTGTGTTATTATGGCCAAACTTCTTATATACATGGTCAAGGAAGTGACACACAGAAAACAATGTTGGAAAGTGTGAGGTCATGTACTTTGGCAGGGAGAAGAGGCGTGGATTATTTTCTAAATGGCGAAAGGCTTCGGAAATCTGAAGCACAAAGGGGCTGGGAAGTCCTAGTTCAGTATTCTCTCAAATTTAACATGCAGATTCAGTTGGCAGTTAGGAAGGCAAATGCAATGTTAGCGTTCATTTCAAGAGGGCTAAAATACAAGAACAGAGATGTATTGCTGAGGGTCTGTATAAGGCTCTGTTCAGACTGCATTTGAAATATTGTCAGCAGTTTTGGGACGCGTACCTAACAAAGGATGGGCTGACCTTGGAATTGGTCTAGAGGAGGTTTACAAGAATGATGCTAGGGATGAAGGGCTTGTCAAATGAGGAGCTGTCGAGGACTCTGGTCTGTACTCGATGGAGTTTAGAAGGATGGGGGGAGGGAATCTCATTGAAAAACTCAGAATATTGAGAGGTCTGGAAAGAGTGGACATGGAGAAGATGTTTCCATTAGTAGGAGACTAGGACTACACGGCACAGACTCAGAGTGAAGGGATGACTCTTTAGAACGGAAATCAGAAGGAATTTCTTCAGACAGAGAGTGGTTAATCTGTGGAATGGATTGCCACAGAAGGCTCTGGAGGCCAAATTATTGTCTTAAATACAGTCAGAGATAGATAGGTTCTCGGTTAGTAAGGGATCAAGGGTTATTTCCCCAAAGAAAAACTCCACTACATTAATGAAAACCTATTTCCTTTTCAGAAAACTAGATTGATTCTTCCTGGTCCCACTATGATTTTCTAAATATTCTGCTACAGCTTCTTTGATAATAGATTGTGACAACGTCTCCATGACAGATATTAGACTAACTGACCTAGTTTCCTGACTCCTTCCTTTCTTGAATTAAGGTGCTAAATTTGCTATTTTCCAACCCGCTGGAATCCCTCTAGAATATCTAAGGAACTTGGGAAGAGTATAACCAAGCTTCTAGCACCTTTACAGCCACTTCTTTTAAGACAGTAGGATGTACGCGATCTAGTCACAGGCACGGTCAGCCTTTCAATCTAATAATTTCCCAGCATCATTTTGGTGAGGACTTAGGTTCCTCCCTCCCATTCAAATTTTGATTTTCAAATATCTTTGGGAAGTTTTCCATGTCTTCTGCAGAATAAAAGGACACAAAGAACATTCAATACTTTCACCATTTCCATGTTTTTCCATAATTAATTCCCCAAGCTTACTCCAGAGAGGACAAACAAGTTGTAGTTACTTCTTTCCTTTTTAAATAATTGTCAAAACTCTTGCAGAAATTTTATTTTGTAACTAGCATTTTCTCATCCCTTGTTTTCTCTCTCGTCATTATTATTTAATGATTCTTAATATTGGATGAATCATGAGACTTGTTACTCATCTGTGCAGAATTAGATTGTATTTCTTTCATTTTTTTACTATTTATTACATCCTTAGCCAGCCAAAAGTGATGCACCCTTCTCAAAATGTCTTTCTTCAACACGGCGATAAATCCTTGCTGAGTTATTAACTATCTTGTTAAAAGTCTGACAGTGCACCTGCCGTCCTGCCTTTAACCCAATTTCTCAATTCATGCTCTGTCTTCATATTCTCATAATTCCCTTCAATCACGTTTAAAAATTGATTAATCCTGTGACATTACCAGGTCTCAAAGAGGCTGCTTCCTGGTTGATCTTGAATATGCTGTTCATAAAAAAGTGTCCCAAATACTCTCAGATTTCCCATGATATCTTTGCCAATCTGATTTGTACAGTCTACATAAATATTAAAGTCGTTCACGATTATTGCAGTATCTTCTCTACACGCTCCACTTCTTCCTTCCTGTATGCTGCATCCTACAGTGTAACTACTGTTAGAAGGTACGTAAATTACTTCCACAAGTGACCTCTTACCTTCCCTAGTCCTTATCTTTACCCAAATTGATTTTAAATCTTGCTCTATCAAACTGTTGCACTAACAACATTCATACTTACAGAGCTAGCCCACCAACTCTTCACAGCTTCCTATATTTTTGAAACAAAGACTCTGATATTCAGGCTCCAGCCTTGGTTGCCTTGTAACCTGCTTCTGTAACAGCTGTCTGGTTGTGCATATTTATTTCCAACTGTGCTAATATTATGTTCATTTTGTTACGAATGTTGTGTGCATCCAGATACAGAGCCTTTAATCATCTTTTACTTTTTTGCAGTCCGTAGTCTTATATTTTGGTGCATTCTTAAGTTCATACTTTCCATTCCTTGTTGCCGCATTTTGGTCATCATTACCAAATTGCGACCCTGCTCCATTACTTTATCGTTTTCCTTTGATATACTACATTCCCTCTCACATGACCTCCCCAACTATCAACCCTGCTATTTAGTTTCAAGTCCTTGCTGCAGCCCTAGGACATGCATATTTGCATTTTGAACAAAAATTCATCTATATCTCATTACAGAGTACTATACAATAAAGATGAGATCAGATTTGATTTATAATTGTCACGTGTACCTAGGAACAGTGAAAGGTTTTGTTTTGTGTGGAGTACAGGCTGATCATACCATGCAAAGTGCGTAACTGTAATAAGAACAGAGTGAGGAATACAACGTTATGCTGCAGTGAAGGTGCACAAAGAACGAGATTAACATTAAATTTGAGATTTGAGAAAACTGCTATTTCCTCCCTCTTGTAACCTTGAGGCTCAACTTTTGGATCTAGAATGCATTGCCCAAGAGTAAGATGGAGGCAGGCTCAATTCAGGCTTTCAAGAAGGGAATTGTATTGTGCCCTTACAAGGGGTAGCATGGTGGTTCAGTGGTTAGCACTGCTGCTTCACAACGCCAAGGTCCTCGGTTCAATTCCACCCTCAGGTGACTGTGTGTGTGTGTGGAGTTTGCACATCCTCCCTGTGTCTGCATGGGTTTCCTCCGGGTGCTCTAGTTTCGTCACAAAGGTGTGCGGGTTCGGTGGATTGGCCATACTAAATTGCCCATAGTGTCCAGGGAAATGCAGGGATAGGGGTGGGATGCTCTTTGGAGGTCCGGTGTGGATCTGATGGACCGAATGCCCTGCTTCCATACTGTAGGGATTCTTTGATTCAGGAGTTAAAATCTACCTCGTAAACCAAGATTTTGGTCACTTAAACTATTAATACCTTATGTAGCTCAGTATCATATTTCATGAGATATATCAGGATACCAAAGCTGATCTATTAATGCACAGATTTGTTGTTAAGAATAAAAGCAGAAATCCAGGAGGTACGCCTGGTCGCCACTTCAAATTGAAGTAAAGTTCAACTTGAAAGCTGCCCTCTTTGATAGATTCACAAATACTGACAACCTCAATGCACATCTTTGTGTGAAAGGACACCATGGAGATTTTAAACAGGTTTGTGAACGTATGAGAGGATGCAATTTAAGATCAATGGTAAAGTAAGTAAACATACCTCAGTTTGTCCTTCCTGCGCACTGAATTCATGCGTAACACGAATACTCTAAAGAAAACACAGCAGGAATACATTGTTAAGTGCTTTCCCTGCACACGAATGAAAATTTAATCTCCACTTCAAATATTAAAGACGAGGAAGTTTATCCAATCATATTATTTGTATCAATAGCCTGTAGTTAGTTCTTTGTCAAGTACATTTACTACAGGAATTTTAAGAATATTCACTATTACTTAACAAAAATAAGCTTTAAAAATCACATACTGCACAAAGTCAGGGCTCAGCTCGGTGACATTTCCTCAGTAATATTAACGTGAAGACTCACCTCATCTTTTTCTAAGTATTTTGCTTTTTCTTCAGGACTTAAGGAGCTGGAATAATCCAAAAACTTTTTCATAACTGAATTCGGTTCTGTGAAAAAAACAAATCACGTAAAGAGATTAATGACATTAAGTTCACTTCTGTACAAGTAAGGTGAGAATATTTTGCATAGCAGCACCATCATCTCCTCTCTTACACTAAGCTATTTTAATGAAGAATAATTGATTGGCAACTACAGCAGTCCCACTTCCGAAGTTATCTCTGTGCGTGAATGCAGAGCTGAGCGCACGGTGATGATGATCCATACAAGCCACTGGTTCAGCTACTGGCCTGCCACAAGATTGCAGACCTTAAATAAGGTTTACATTTTGGACAGAGCTTCTCAAACGAAAGATAATTAGGAGAACTGGAACCTATTTTTACCAGGCAGTTTCAAGTGCCTTTCTCAACTGAGCGATTTGCTCAGCAGCAACAGTTCAGCAGACCCATATCGTCGTTCTTTCACTGTCTCTCAGTGGCTTGTAACTTCCTCCCGACTAACGTTCTGGGTAATCCTACTCCCAAATGACTGTGGCTGTTTAAGTAGGCAACTCAAAACCCCCTTTCTTCAGGGCAACAAATGGTGGCCCAGCTACTGATAATCACATCCTATCAACAAATAAATCAAACATTTGATCCTCGACTTATGACTGAATTCAAAAACAAGCGTGAAGAGCCTTTAAGTCAGAAATATAAAAGCAACAATAGGCACTAGTTTGCATTTCTCATCACCTAAACAAATGTCGTACAATTCATGTGGGGAAGATAGATATAACTGTAACAAATGAACAATTATTAACCATGCTAGGGTAATGGGCCATAAAATTTAGAGTTAGGAAAAATGCTAGATTCGCTGTTGGGGAGTAAATGCATTTGATTTGAGATTTTTAAAAATAAATTTAACATGTTGTTATAACTGGCTATATCAGGAGGAATCTGGTTTAACTGATGTAGTGCTATCCTACAGTAATCTTCATAAACACACGCACTTCTCCCAGAAAAACAAAAATACCAACAGATACATTGTTCCCATCTGACTGACCAAGAATTATGGCTGTTTCTGATGTCCCAGTGCTTCCAGCAAGACACTTCTTAGCAACTCTCAACTTCATCAAAAATACAGATTAAGACAATGTAGTTAATGGGACAATGTTGCGTTAGTAAAGAGACAGAAATATTGAGGCTTAAATACATAACTGCTTGCAAGTGTCCATTTGGATACTTAAAGACCAATAGCAATATAGGAACAGAGAGTATAAGGATACAAGGGGAAATAAGAAGTTTGCACTGGATACCCAAGTACAGAAACAACATTGATACACTTAGCATAAACTCATTGGGATAATACAGCTTTGAGACTATGTCCACAGCGGCAGAGGACATTAAATAAACCTTTTTGAAACTAAGAAGGACTTTAATAGGGAAAAAAACTTTTTTTTTTGCCTGACTGGGAGTCAGTGACAAGAGCTTGTCAACTTAAAAACTAAAACATGCAATGTTTTACCACAGGGAGTGGTTAAAGCAGAGATTGTGGTAACCATTAAAAGGATATGTGCATCAGCATTATTAGTGAATGATGCTCTAGGGCTGACAGACATAAGGTAGGGAGCAGCTTAGCCTGTTGTAATATAGAGCTGACGGAGCCACAATGGACTGATAGAAGCTCAGGGCATGACTGAAAGCTGACATTAATCTTTCTCTGGCCCCACCCTGCATTCCCACGAATGAACACGGAATAAAATATGCTAGAATGTTCTCAGGATGTGGCCATTACTCATTCAGCCTTATCAAGGATTTATTCTAGGTCCAGTGACGACCTGAATGATTCAGTTTTACTGCAATGGCAGCATCAGTTCCACCCAATCGGTTCCCACGTTATCAGCCTTATTGCACGGCATGATTTTCAAATGGGCCATTACCAAATTGTCCTCGACACATAGACTTATTTCTGGAGATGGTTCTCAAAGTAACAACAAAGTCCAATAATAAAAAAAATGCTTCAGAAATTGTTTCATTTACCTATTGCCCTGCAGGATGTTCTGACTTCTTGTTAGGGTATAATGTCCCAGGCATGAATTATACCCCTCAGAACGTTAGCAAAATGGCAGGGAAGGGAAGTTAAAGTCTTTTAGGGAAGGAAATCTGCTATCCTTACATACCAGGTTGGTTAACCCTTAACTGCCTTCTGGGCAATAAGAAATGGGCAATAAACACTGACCTTGCTGGTGATGCCCATATCCAATGAATTATAAAATAAAACTTTGATAGTTTTGTTGACTGATCATGAATATTCTTAGTTCTTCATGAGTAGTCTCTTTAGCAGGTGGGTGTTTGATGTGGGCTCTGTTATTTGTGACAGCAAAATCTGTGTGTAACAGTGTGACAGCAGAATGTCTATCAACAAGTGCAAGAGTAAACTGCGACTGACTGAGGACTTACATGACACACATACATTGGTTTCTAAACCTCCCAACATAATTTTGCTTTCGATTGCGGATGATAAACCAAAACACTCACCAAATTCCAGTTTATCTCGATTGTTAGCCAGTGCGTGTATAAGGCCAACAGTTCCGCAGGCATTACTGATGGTTTGTTTCATGAAATAAACTTGTGGATCAACTTTCTGCCCCTTAGTTTTTATTTCTGCTTCCTCCTCTTGCTTGAAGGCTTCATACTGATTGGGAAAAAAGTTACCACAGTTAATTACTCATTTCCAGATATGTTCTCTACCATTTTCAAATTGAGCGAAAGTAGTATGTGTTTTTGTTCACCTCTTGCCTTCACTGACAAAAAAAAAATCAAGTACGTGGTCTATTTTCTTTAGGTCTTCAGAGGCCCACATTAATTTCTTATTTCACATAGGGTTTAGATCTATTATTGTTATGCTTAGATTATCCAAACATGCACACCTCAAAAGCAATTGCCTCTAGTAACTGGTTTCTACTGATTATACTTAAAGATGATTCCAGGAACAGAAAGAGGCTGATTCTTGCCTAAGCAGATACACAGTCAATGGAGTCCATTAGCAGAGTCCAGAGGTATTATAGTTCAGTTGTCAACCACAGCTCAATCTACAAACTGACAGAACAGTTGATGTTGCAAACAATCTAAAATTGAAACCACAAAATGAATTGTGGGTTGATGTGGTTAGTCAGCGACGTGCAAATTGTTGACATTCATCTTGTTTGTGGATCAAGGGGAATGGAATGAGTTGGATTACCAAACAGCTGACACACATACACCAGGCTGAAAGGGCACGGCTGTGCTGTGTCATACCATAGAATTTTTGGGTATCAACTGATAGGTTGGGCAGGAAATGGAAAGGCATGGTCATTTGTTTGAATTACAATGCATCAAGTACACTGTACAAAGGTCACAGTATGTGGTTATGAATCACATCAAGGAGAGATCAGTTTGCAATTTTTACAACATAATGAACAAGCATCTCAATTATGGCTCTGCATATCCTCACAAAACAACTCTGTCTCATTCCATCCAGCAATACTCCACCTATCACACCGTAGAACCAGAGGCACAGAAAAATTACAACATAGAACTCCATTCAGCCCATCTGTGCCAGCTGAATAAACAGGTCACCCATTCTAACCCCACTTTCCAACACCTAGTCCATTGACTTAATATCATAAGATATAGCGACAGAGTTAGGCCATTCAGCCCATTGAGTCTGCTCCACCATTTGATCATGGCTGATATGTTTCTCAACCCCATTCTCCTACCTTCGCCCGTCACCCTTGATCCCCTTACTGATCAAGAACCTATCGCTGTCTTAAACACAATCAATGGCTTGGCCTCTACAGCCCTCGTGGCAATTAGCTCCACAGATTCACCACCTGAAGAAATTCCTCATCTCAGTTCTAAAGGGTCAAGCCTTCATGCTGAGGCAATGCCCTCGGGTCGTAGTCTCTCCTACTTGTGGAAACATCTTCTCCAATTCCACTCATTCTGAGCCTTTTGCTATTCTGTTAG